AGAGTCAATGCTAACTACCAAACTCTTAGGAGTAAACATCTAATTTCCTTTAAGATAAGAAAAGAGTTCTTAAGGGGGGAAGAAATCTCCCAATTGAGAGAAAATTTTTCAGGAGTGAGAAACACTTTCCCATTTAGAACTAATGCCTTAACTGGGAAAAAACTTCTCATCTAGGTATAAGTCCCTAAAGTGGCACCAGAATTCTCTCAAATAGGAGTTTCTTGAATGACAAGAATCCTTTAGAATGAAAAACATTTCCTAGTGTGATGAATTTTCCCATAGAATAGGACGATTTCTTAGTAAAAAAAGGAAAAAAAATCATAGCAGGGAAGTTTCCTAAATGAGAGCAACATTCTTTAAATAAGAGAAATCTCTTAGGTAGAAAGAAAATTTCTCGAGTAGAAAAATTTTCCAATAAGAATAATGAGATAGCCCTGAACAAATACACTCCATATAATAAACCCTAGGGTGATATGAACGAAATGACGATTTAATTTTTCTAAAAATTCTCTTTGCATCCCTCTATGAAAAGAAATACCCTCACTGTTCCTAAATTCTTTTTTCAGGTTTATTTAAAGACTCCAATAGTGGTTCTGAATCTTAGGAAAACAAATAATAAGATCCTTAGGAAATAAACTGCCATTCTAGGAATTAAACTCACACAACGCCTAATTAGTATCCTCATTTCCAAAAGTTCTAGTACTCTTAGAAAAAAATTCTGTAGGTAAAGGGTACAGTCATAAGAGTTGTCCGCAGACCCAACTATTAGTAAATTTTCAATATGTTACTCATCAAAGTAGCACAACGGAAGCGTGATGAACCACAATCATCACACCTAGGTAATTTTTCTCTTTAAACCAAAAAGAGTAAATTAATAGTGTGAGAAAATGGTGACTCGTATCGAAGTCACAGAATTCTTGGAAACTTAGAGTGTACTTGCGAGAATTAGAACTAAACGTAACTACTTGCAGCAAAACTAATGATTGAATCTGCTACTAAAAGAATTCCTAATCACCTCCAAAAATAATCATCAATTTCGTAACACTCTAAGCCCATTTCAAACAATCATGGTTTAATTATTAGAAGTTAGAAAATCAATAAATTAAATTAGACACTTAAAACTTAATGATTGATATGGCCTTAGCTGAAATAATAATTCTCTAAGTATACTAACTGTTTTTAAGAAAATATGAATAAAGCACCATCATGTTTAAACTCACAAATAGAGAAACATGCCATAGAAACTAATCCAACAAAATGAAATTGAGAGAAATGTGAGCATGATTTCACCGAAGATGTTTCCACCCAATGAAAATATTGTAACATCATTACTTGATTGGAACTGTTCTTAAATAACCTTCATTATGAAATTAAGTTCTAAAGAGAGAGGAAACAAAGTTTTAAAAGATGTGTTCTGATAACAGAATCATTACCACGACAAATTTTAGAAAAGTAACTCATTTATACTAAGGAAAATATAAAATAATTAGGCATCAAAGGCACGCCTTTAAACAAACATATTTTTACATATAAGAATTAGAAAAAAATGATATCACAACCTAAAATAATTCTGTTAAAGAATATGTCATAACCACTCTAATCTGTTGACAAAAATGTCAATACAATACATGGATGGTTGTTTCAAGTTTCTCACAAATAAAAATTTCAAAGATCAAATTTCCTTGAAAGAGAGGAGATTTGCACATGAGAGAAATTTTTCCAAGTAATAGAGATTTCCCAAAAGAGATAAACATCTTAGTGAAAGAAAAATACCCTATTAATAAATAAAAATTTTCCCAAGTGGGGAGATAAGTGATTCCAATTCCTTGACGTGTAATTTGGAGGACCAAATTATTTTAAGGGGGAGATTTGTAATACCTAGCTGGGCACCAGCTGAGTACAAAAGAAAAAAAAAAAAAAGAGAAGAAGAAAAAAAAAGAAAGGAAAGGAAAAAAAGAAAAAAAAAGGAAAAAAAAAGAAAAAAAAAGGAAAAAAAAAAAAAGGAAGAAAAAATAGAAGTGTGGCGTCCAAATACGATATTGGTGTGCAGCGTATAACATTTTTGGTGTCACGCGTGTGATGGCACGTGGTGATGTTGGCGACCGAGACCAC